GTGACGTAGACATGTGGGGGCGTGTTAGAACGAGCCGTTTTAGGTAGGTGTGGCTGACTCTTAACTTTTATAAAGAATATCTCTTTGGATTTGAGACTTTAGTCTTTGCAACTTTACAGATCTTCTTTATGCACCAAGAGCTTGTAACACTCCAAAGAGAAAGGAAAATTTGAAATTTCATCATATGACCCCTTTAAACCGATTATGCTTAATAAGCCACAGCGCACGTGGTCATGTAAATGGTGACCCTTTTCTTGACTGATTTTGACATGATTTACATACAAACGTCGGCTGTCAGATGTTCTTCCTACAAAATGATTGCATAAACATTTCTCTTGTGTTTCATAGAAGAAATATAATAATAATAATGCGTTGTGATGGCATGGGAGAGTAAATTATGCCGAAAAACATAACAAATCAGCTAGTTTAGGCTGGTTTAAGATATATTATTTTCCAGTTTTGGCTGAACTATTCCTTAAACGTTCGTAATGTTTAATACGAACCCCCCATAAACACTGGCGACCGCTGATGTTTGATCTGCCGATGTTGTTGTGGTTGCTAGGGTGATGAGCCGATGCTTTGTTTCTGTGCCGCCAGGCTCTGTGGAGACAGCGCGCGACCCCACGGGAGCACCGGTGACACCGACCATGACCTCGGCAGCCTCAAGCGAGCCGCCTCCAGCAGCTGTGACGGGAAGTGTGGCACAAAACGGCGAAAACAAGCCACCTCAAGCCATAGTGAAGCCACATGTCCTCACGCACGTCATCGAGGGTTTTGTCATTCAGGAGGGAGCTGAGCCATTCCCTGTGCGTTGCAATAATAACACTAATACAACAACAACTACTGCTACTACTAATTTACGAATAGGTGACAATTTTAGAATGATTTATAATAGTAAATTTAAGATAATTATTATTATTAATTTAGTTAATAATAATAGTTTAATTATAAAATAAATATAATAATAATAATAATAATAATAATATAATTGTATTGTTGTTCAAAAATTATTGTAGTTATTAGTATTTATTAGTATTATTTTTTATTATTCATAATTGTTTTAATACAACACCAAAACCACCACCACCAACAGTAATAATAATACATTTATTTTTATTATTCGTTCAGTTATTTATAAAAAATGTATTATAAATAATACAAATTTAAACTGGAAATTCATTCAATAATAATAATAATTGGTATTGTTAATAATAATTGTTCTAAAATTATTATTCATAATCATTTTAATACAACAACAACAACAATAATACATGTATTATTATTCTTTCAGTTAATTATAAAAATTTATACAAATTGATACTGAAAATTAATTCAATAATTGTTATTGTTAATAATTATTGTTGTAGTTCTAAAATTATTTTTATTCACAATAATTCAATGCAAAAGTCATCATCATCATCATTGTATTATTATTATTATTATTCATTTATTTATTAATTAATTACATTTTATTTATTATATTATAATGACATAATATTTATTTATTTTATGTTAGTGAATTGACATAATTTACAACACTGAACATCAGACTAAACTGTGGAAAAAATATTGTCTGTTGATCTGCTTATTCCAACTTAACACAAGTGTCCACAGTGTTCCAGTGATGATCAGCCTGACATCATTATGTTTGTATACTGTATTGTCAGGTGGAGAGACCGCTGGTGCAAGCAGACAGCCCCAAGAAACCAGACACGCAGCTTCCCTCAGATCCAGAGAAAACGGCCAGCAGTAATTCCCTCAGTGCCACAAACTCAGACATGGAGGAGGCTGGACAACAAGGTAGACATTTAATTTAGTAGATTCAAACAAATACTGCAGCCCATGGCTGCTTTTCTAAGATGCATGACCTTTTTAAGTGTCAGGGTAAAGTTTTGACAGATTGGAAACCTGCATTGTTATGAAAAAAGGAGCATCATTATGCATTAGTGATGAGGTGATAAGATATGGAATTTCCTGTTTGTGTAATCAAGGTGCAGCAAAACATATGCTTTTATAATTTATATATTATATTTTATAATTTTTCATCAGACACGAGGACTCAGGAGGAATCGGAGGAACCCAAGCTCACATGTGAGCTCTGTGGATGGGTCGATTTTGCCTACAAGTTCAAACGTTCAAAACGCTTCTGTTCCATGGTCTGTGCTAAAAGGTTAGAGATTCAAAAGCATTTTATAAATGAAAATATATAGACCAATTTCGGTGTTTGCAAACAGTGATGATGTTTTTGGTGGGCGGAGCCTATCTGGTGGCAGAAAATGACCGTTTTAAAGTAGCGGTCTATGGAAGCCATGGAATAAAAGAATAAAAAAGGTAATTGTGATTTTGTATTTCAAAATTCTGACTTTTTTCTTGCAATTCCGAGATTATATTTCACAATTCTGATAAGAAAAATCGACTCGTCATTCTCTCTTTTCCCCTCGGCTCAGAATCTTATATATCAGAGTTTATATCCCACACTTCTGAATTTTTTTCCCCTCAGAATTGACAAACTCGCAATTGTTGAGTTAAATTGAGTTATAAAGTCCGAACTAGGAGATATAAACTTGGATTTGTGAGAAAAAAAGTCAGAATTGTGAGATAAAATAAGTAAATGTTATATGTCCGCTATGAACTGCATATGTGAAGATTATGTAGACCTATTGTTTAAATCAAATTTATGCTCTAAAAGTAGGGTAATCATAGCAGGTTTCATCCATAGTCCGTCCGTTTAAACGTCTGCGTTTAGCGTCTTTGACGACAGTATCCTATAAAAATAATTTGCATTCTGATTCTGACATCCAAAGGCACAACAATACATTTTTTGTCTTATTCCATGGATTTTACCCATTTCCCTCCACTTGTTCCCAGTGTTTTTCTGCCACCACAATGCGCGCGCAGCTGCATGTGATGTACATCTACTCCAAATTGGTCTATATAGAAATGCATGTTTAAACAAAGCTGCATGACACTTCAGGGTAATTTGGGTTCATTTAAGAAGTTATGATACTCACTGACTGAAATGATAGATATACTCATTCATTCAGCTGCCACCAAAATGATAACTAATAATATATTTTTGTGATATTGCAATATTTTTGTCTGTATGGTAATGTATAACACTTTTGAACAGATACAGTGTAAGTTGCACGAAGCGGGTTGGTCTGTTCCACCCCAACAGAACTAAAACAACCAATCAGATAAATCAGTGGAGAAGGAGGAGGTCTCATAGTCCCAGAGGCAGGGAGGCCAAAAAGCAGGTGAATAGCTACTTCAGTATAATGTGGTAGTGTTGCATGCCACAATGTTTTTGTATAAATATATAAAGTAAATCATGCTCATATTGTCTCTTGTTTTATCCCCCCCCAGCGGCTCTCTGTATCTCAGCAATCTCAGGGAGAATCTATATCCTCACCTCTCCAATCTCAGCCTAGTCAAGGAGAGTCCAGTCCCTGTTCGGATATCTCCAGTTATGAGGATGCAACATCCCCCCTCTCTGCAGCCAGTTCTGGCCCAATTGTTTCTCAAGGTGGGGTCACTGTTAACGATCCCGAAGAGCTTCCTCTCCTCAGTCAGCACTTCCTGCCATGTGACCCCACCAAATGGAATGTGCAAGAGGTTTTTGAGTTCATTCGCTCTTTGCCAGGTAAGTTGCTTGTATCATTTGGGGTATATATATATATTTCGTACTATATTCCAAGTGCTCTAAAGACATTACTGTTTAAAAGTTTGGGTTCAGTACAAGTTTTCTTTAAGAAATGAATACTTTTATTCAGCAAGGATGCATTATATTTATTAAAAGTGACTAAAGAATTTTCCATTGTTTTACATTGTAAAAAAAAAAAAAACCATCAGTTTCAAATAAATGTTGTTCTTTTGACTTTCTATTCATCGAAGAATCCTGAAAAAAATGTATCATGTTTTTCACAAAAATGTTAAGCAGCACAACTGTTTTCAACAGTGATAATAACAGGAAATGTTTCTTGAGCAGCAATAGTCCGTCCGTTTAAACGTCTGCGTTTAGCGTCTTTGACGACAGTATCCTATAAAAATAATTTGCATTCTGATTCTGACATCCAAAGGCACAACAATACATTTTTTGTCTTATTCCATGGATTTTACCCATTTCCCTCCACTTGTTCCCAGTGTTTTTCTGCCACCACAATGCGCGCGCAGCTGCATGTGATGTACATCTACTCCAAATTGGTCTATATAGAAATGCATGTTTAAACAAAGCTGCATGACACTTCAGGGTAATTTGGGTTCATTTAAGAAGTTATGATACTCACTGACTGAAATGATAGATATACTCATTCATTCAGCTGCCACCAAAATGATAACTAATAATATATTTTTGTGATATTGCAATATTTTTGTCTGTATGGTAATGTATAACACTTTTGAACAGATACAGTGTAAGTTGCACGAAGCGGGTTGGTCTGTTCCACCCCAACAGAACTAAAACAACCAATCAGATAAATCAGTGGAGAAGGAGGAGGTCTCATAGTCCCAGAGGCAGGGAGGCCAAAAAGCAGGTGAATAGCTACTTCAGTATAATGTGGTAGTGTTGCATGCCACAATGTTTTTGTATAAATATATAAAGTAAATCATGCTCATATTGTCTCTTGTTTTATCCCCCCCCAGCGGCTCTCTGTATCTCAGCAATCTCAGGGAGAATCTATATCCTCACCTCTCCAATCTCAGCCTAGTCAAGGAGAGTCCAGTCCCTGTTCGGATATCTCCAGTTATGAGGATGCAACATCCCCCCTCTCTGCAGCCAGTTCTGGCCCAATTGTTTCTCAAGGTGGGGTCACTGTTAACGATCCCGAAGAGCTTCCTCTCCTCAGTCAGCACTTCCTGCCATGTGACCCCACCAAATGGAATGTGCAAGAGGTTTTTGAGTTCATTCGCTCTTTGCCAGGTAAGTTGCTTGTATCATTTGGGGTATATATATATATTTCGTACTATATTCCAAGTGCTCTAAAGACATTACTGTTTAAAAGTTTGGGTTCAGTACAAGTTTTCTTTAAGAAATGAATACTTTTATTCAGCAAGGATGCATTATATTTATTAAAAGTGACTAAAGAATTTTCCATTGTTTTACATTGTAAAAAAAAAAAAAAACATCAGTTTCAAATAAATGTTGTTCTTTTGACTTTCTATTCATCGAAGAATCCTGAAAAAAATGTATCATGTTTTTCACAAAAATGTTAAGCAGCACAACTGTTTTCAACAGTGATAATAACAGGAAATGTTTCTTGAGCAGCAAATCAGCATATTAGAATGATTTCTAAAGGATCATGTGACATTGAATACCGGAGCAATGATGCATCACAGGAATAAATTATATTTTAAAATATCTTAAAACAGAAAACAGTTATTTTAAACTGTAATAAAATTTCTCAATATTTTCTCAATAATTTTACTGAATTTTTAATCAAATAAATGCAGCCTTGGTGAGCAAAAGAGATTCATTACAAAAACATCTTACCAACCCCAAACTTTAGAACAGTAGTGTATATATATATATATATACAGACATGCACAAGCACTTGATATGATATTCTGTCGTTAAATATTACAATATATTATAATGATGGGGGGAAAAATGGAAAGTTATGATGAAAATCAGATTATTTTTTTCAACAATAAATTACTGTGAATTTATTTACAATTATGCTGTTTAATGGTGCAAATTTTTGTGACTTCACAATTAGGTTGCCAGGAGATTGCAGATGAGTTCCGTGTTCAGGAGATTGATGGACAGGCCATGCTGCTACTGAAGGAAGATCATCTAATGAGTGCCATGAATATTAAATTAGGACCCGCCCTCAAGATCTTCGCTCGCATAAACATGCTGAAAGATTCCAAACCTTGAAAAGGCAGTGTGTGTGTGTGTGTGTGTGTCCTCTGATGTCACTGACCTTGACCTAGTGACCACAGCACCCCAACTGCACTACAAAATTTTTAAAATAATTAATAACTAAACATTTTATACATATTGGGGCTAAAGCCTAAAACTGCACCTCCTCAAGAAAAGAACTGAAATTAATTCAGCTGAAACAGAAAATGACCCGACTACCTATGAAAAATCGCACAAATAGTGACTTTATACCAAATGGAAGGCATTATGAAACAGTGATTTGGAATTCTGACTGGGTTTCACAGATCACTGGACTTAACTAGTAGTAGCGGTGCTTAGAAGAAATCTTTGGATAATATACGTGTAACAGTGCAGTCCAACCTGAACTAAAATGATCATGTGGTTTCACAATCCCACATCTCGGCTCAGATATCTCTGGATTGTACATTTGTTGTTTTCAGGTATGATTTTGTCTTATTGTACATGCCAGATGCTTTTGTACAGTCAGATATGTTTAAGTAAATTATTCTTACCTTTGTAAGTATTTGTAACGGAGTTGAATCACAACAAACTGGTGCGATTTCACTCTCGCATTTACTTTAAGACTTGAATAACAGAAGCACAGTAACAGAATATTCAACTTTAAACCTGAAAACCAACCTGTGAAAAATTCCTGTCAACAGCGCCTTATTCAATGTGTGTCCGTACAGACACTGGTTTTGAGATGCACATTAAATTGTATTTGTCTTGGATATTGGGAATGACACTATGTTTGGTTTTAATTGTGCCCAGATTTGTCATTGTATGTTGCTAGAAAGGATTGTGATGATGAATTGTGTTTTTTGTACAATGCTTTGTGAAATGCCTGTATTTATCAGATGATATTTGTAATATAACATTTTTAATGAAGGATTTTCATGTCAACTTGTTAAATTTTTTGACCCTATATCACATTTTGCCTGCACAGCTTCATTTATTATTGTATTTATTCCACACTTCATTTTTTGTTGCATTGTTTTAGATAATATACCCAACAAAGCCTGAAAACGAATATATTGTTTTGCCCTTTAAAACCTAACAAACTTATTTTTGCGAAACATTCTGCTCTCTCTTTCTTTAAATAAAATGCCACCCAGTTTGACATTTATCTCTTTTAAACTAGCACGAGTGTCCATATATTTTTGGGGCCGCTCTTATTGTTTACTACAATAAGACACCACTAGGTGGCACACGTGCATTTCTAACCCAAACTAACATATTTTCCACATTTAGGATGACTTTTAGAGTGATTATGTATCTAACTCGACCCTGATACTATAAAAACATTATTTTTCACAGAAACCCGTCCAAATATGTCGTGATTAAGTCGTGTTGGGGGTTCAGGATTGAAGAGTGCTTTCTAGTCTCACCGCTGCACAAAGAATCCCATTTTATAAACTTTTCCTGCTACGCCCCGCCTCCTATCTCTGCGTCTCGCTTCTAATTGGTCTATTGAGCTGAAACACTTCCATTCTATTGGCTGTGTAAGATGTCCGTTTGCGTTCCTTCACAGCAGATGAACTTCGGTGAAGCCGATTTTAAACAACGGTGCTGCTCGATCGATGAGCGATATATTGGAAACTGATCATCAAACTTGGCATGGCACCCACAACGGTGAGAATGTTCTCTTTATAACTTATCTCTTAATACTTAAATAGAAAAAGAAAGTAGAATAAAATGAGCACGAGAGGCAGAGAAAGTTTTGTGTATGAATAGTTTGAATAGTTAATGCTAATTAAAGTTTTAAATAGCCGACAGTTCTGACGCAACGCAACGGAGTTTATATGAGAGGTAACGTTATATAAAAAGCTGTCCAGAAATTCGAGACATCGCTTTTTAACGTAAACCGTCTATTGATTGATTGATTGATTGATTTTTTTTACAGTTTTTTTGCTTGTCAGATCTGCACAAATGTAAAAGGCTGTTTCGAAACGTAGTGCACTGTCTACCTAGACAGCATTTTTGCATCAATAGTCAAAAATTGAGTTCAATAGTTTATACGTTTTGGTCAGAGTCAGATGAACTCAAATGAGCCCAAAAATTCTGCACGCACATATAATGCCCAAAACTGCAGTCGAAGTCAGTACATTAGGTTTGGATGGATAACATCAAAGAAAATCAACGAAAAAGTGGAACTTTTTCAGTAAAGTATAATATAATATTTTTAAAAAAATAATAATAATTACAATATATGCTTCGACTTTTGATCACTCTAAATATTGTGTTGTATTATTTTATATTATAATTAAATCATATAACTGTATATATAATTGTATACTGAATCTTTTGATCACCCTAAATATCGTGTTGTATTATTTTATATTATATTTAAATCATATAACTGTATATATAATTCTATACTGAATATGGTTTCAGAATTTTTCACCTTATTTTTTTTAACACAGTATCATTTTTTTATTGTTTTACATTTTCAAAATCATATTTAATATATATATATATATATATATTTTATTTTATTTTATTTATTTATTTTTTTTTTCTTCTCATTATTTCTTTGAACCTGAAAAATAAACACAAAAATTAGGAATCATGTACAACGAATAATAATGATAAAAAATCTATGAGAATATTATTTTCAACTGCTTAAATGGTTTAAACAGTTACAAATACGACACTTTATGTAGTCTGTTCAACTGATCACATCAGCAGGCAGTTGACATTGGGCCATCTGTTTTGTAGCTCACAAGCAGCTTGAGGATTAAATTAATTACCCTCTGACATGTCCGGTGAGCTTGGACTCAAACACTGCCTGCTTCAGTCTAGCTCCAGGGAGAAATGCTGGGTAATTTAAGAAGCATTTAGGCCGATGTTGAATAGTGTAGCACCCTTTAATTCAGAAAGGCATGGACACCAGTAAAAAGGAAATGCCAAATTAGTCAACCATGAAGAACACTATCAGATAATCTTCAAGTGCACATGAAAGAAAGGTTTCGTAGATGTATAAAGATCTCTAAGAATGTTTTTACTCTTTTTCTCACCTTTCCCTATAATGTTTCATTCTAAATCACAAGTTTTAGTAAAGAGAGACTCACTGGCTAAAAAAGCTGGTGTATCGTTTATATTTTTCATACTTGATCTATATAACTATTAGGTAATTGAAAGTACTTACTGATGCATGATTTAATTTTCTTTGGGCTTTATACAGTGAACGTGTGAAATTAGCGCGTCTATAAAGTATGGCTTTGCTTAGGAACACGATTCAAATGAGCACTGTTTGAATGGGTAAACCGCAAACCATGAACGCTTTCTTCCATACTCATGGCCTCAGATCTAGTATGCAGTTCCCATCGGTGCACAATACATCAAAAGAAACGTGACGGCTATTTACTAGCACAAATTTGACTAAAGGTTGCACAACTTGTGCAGTGCACGAAATTGAATTCATGCACTGCACAAGTACAGTAATGCGATTTTAAGGCAGCTCTGACATGGAAGTCAAGCTTCCAAATTTCAGCTGGAGCACAGTAGCTGGACGTCTTCCGTCTCTGGCATATTATGTAACACTCTGAGACTCCTTCATGACTTCGTGATGTGGAAACTTTGGCTAACCACACAAATCTCGACATGAAGCACCATTAAAAGCAAAGTGGGGTCAGAATGTAGAAATCTAGATTGAGTTTGATAAGATTATTTCAGCTGAAGCTTGCAGCGCAGGGTCAAGCATTTATGGTGCGCACAGCTATATGGGAAAGTGAAATTCGATACTTTCAGGGTTATCCATGCGCAATTACTGAGTATTTAGAAGCGAGAGCTCGGGAAGGAATTTCAGTCAATCTCACCCTTCCAACAAGAAGTCTCTTTCTCTAGCTGTCTATCAATAGAAAAGTCGTGGAATGCTGCTTTAGCTTTGATGTGTGACAGATGCTTTGACTCATGAGTAAAATGGAAAAAATGACCTGCTTTTTTCTTTTCCTTTGAACTGCACAGAAAGAAACACAACATGGGAATGGGAGTTTTTCTGAGATCACAGCTGTGATCTATAGCCATTATGTTCTTCGACAAGCCTGTTAACCCTTTGATTGTTCCAGGAGGACTGCACTGTAAAAAAATTCCATAAAATTTACGGTAAAAAAACGGCAGCTGTGGTTGCTAGAATTTTACCGTAAAAAATATGGTAGCAACATTTTAGGTTTTACTGTTTTAACTTAAATTTACAGTTAAATACCGTAATTTCAATAACTGATATAATGTTAATATACCAACTTATTGAAGTACTGAAATCTGTTTTGTACCCTTGTAATTCACTGATAACCACCAAAAGCAGGTGGTGATGAGAAAGTCACATGATGAACCAAAGCCTATCACAAGCAGCAGTTTTTAAATATTAACATATTTAGAAGGTGCACAGTGTCATTCACACAAACACTAAACACCATCATGGTAACACACATGAAACTGAAATAATGTAATACACTTTAATTTGACAACATTAGGTGTAAGATACAACCCTAATATACAAAACTGAAAAGAAAAAAACTTAGAAACATAGAAAGAAGAAACAGTTATTTCAACAACAAAAAAACATCACATTTGATTTTACCGTTCAATTCACAGTAATTTTTTTACAGTGTGGCTTAAAATAAATGGCTTTTGATGAAGCGTAAATGCCTACTAACAAACGGCTCAAAGATAATGAGACTGAACATTGTGATGGGCTTAATTCGGGCTGTTGATTTAGTGCAATTAGTTGTAAAAGAATAAAGTAAAAATGCATTTAATCATGGCCTGATTGGTAAGTAATTTTTCTACTGTCAAAGTAGTCTGTTTCTTGTTGCTATAAGAGCAGGGCAAAAATATGAAAATGAGATATACACAATATAAAAAAGTGTTTTTTAAGTAAAATAATTACACTACTATTCAAAAGTTGCGGGTCAGTAAGATTTTTTTTAAAGAAATGAACACTTTTATTCAGCAAGGATACGTTAAATTGATCAAAAGTGATAGTAAAGGCATTTATAATGTTACGAAAGATTCTTTTTCAAATAAATGCGGCTGTTCTTTCTATACATCAAAAATCCTGAAAAAACTTCCAGAAAAATAAGAAGCAGCACAACTGTTTTCAACATCAATAATAATAAGAAATGTTTCTTGAGCAGCAAATCGGCATATTAGAATGATTTCTGAAGGATCATGTGACACTGATTACTGGAGTAATGATGCTGAAAATTCAGCTTTGCATCACAGGAATAAATTAGATTTTAAAATATATTCAAATAGAAAACAGTCATTTTTTTAAACTTGTAATTATGTTTCACAATATTACTTTTTACTGTATTTTTAATGAAATAATGCAGCCTTGGTGAACATAAGAGACTTCTTTCAAAAACCTTAAAAAATCCAAACTTTTGAACAGTAGTGTGTGTCTGTGACAAATATGCCTGCAAGTGGTATTGATGTTTAATGGCATCAGTAACTGAAAACATCTGCATGCTGCATCCATACTGGAAACCTAAAGCAAATCTATGGCTGCGTTTACACTTGTAGATCACGGTGATCGCATGTTAATGCCAAGTGTAAACGCAGCCTATATAGTTAATCTGTTTACTGTGGATTTGCATTGTTTATTTCATTATACTGTGCACTGAATAAGCAGCACACTGTATAATCAGGACAAGCACATGGAGAATACAACAGACTGTAGTCATTTGGTCTGCAGATGGAAAGGAAGGGAGAAGATTTGTAGACATGGAGATTGTTGCCTGACTGTTTGTTTTCCAAACAATTCAGTATAGACTTTGTCCTAATGTAGTGTATCATTTGCTAAAAAAAAGTCATTAGAATCTCTGATTGCATTTGAGTTTTATTTCATATTTTGTCGCCCACTCATTTGCTCCGTTTTGTTGTCTTTTCAGGAGTCGAGGCTGAATGTGGAGGCTCTGAGTAAGAGAGATGTGCTGCTGCTCTTTAGTGTTCTTGAGGGAGAGCTGGAGGCCAGAGACTTTGTCATACAGGCACTCAAGGTTAGTCCAGTCCCGCCAATGGACAAGAATGTTTTTTTTTTATTTATTTGTAAGCAGCAATCAATGGCAGTACAGGCAAATCGTGCTGCTCTTAGTTCTTAAAGGAACAGTTCACTCAAAAATCAAAGTTCTGTCATTATTTACACAGCCACATGTCATTCCAAACCCATGTGCTGTTATTTTTTTCTGTGGAATTGTTGGAGAATCTTCATACAGGTCTTAATTTGGATCAAAAACACTATAAATAAACAATAAAAGTGGTTTATGACCTGTGCACTACACATCTAAGCCTTCTGTGTCATGTACAATTTATTCAGGAGCATCTGGACTTATTTATCCACAAGATGTTTGGATGTTCAGCTACGTACAGTGCTGTTGTTGCATGTTTATCAATGCAGCTGCGACCCAAGTCATACATCAGTTTACACCATTATGGAGGCAACTTCCTCTGTGATTGGCAGCTCTTATGATCTTGCGGTGTGTATTTCTTGGTATTCCTTAGAGAGTTCCCATCATCCAAATATATAAACAAGCCCAGATTGTCCTGAATAAATTTTATGATGACCTAGATAGCTGAGATTGATAGTCACATTAGTTGATAAAAACAGAATGCTAATCTGCAATCAATTAGTTTTGTTGTATTTAGTTTCATTTTCTTCAGAACACACACATACACACACACATATATATATATGAGCAATATCACACGAGTAGCAGTGTGATATGGCTGTATATCAGCACGGCTGTGTGTAGGCACAAGGTATCACACAAATATCGCATGCCTGGAAAAGGCTCTCAGCCAATCAGATTCGAGGACCAGAAAGAACTGTTTTGTATATATATGTATGTGTGTGTGTGTGTGTATACCACTTAAAAAACGAATTATTTCTACAAATTCTAAATATTTTAATATTAATATAATTATTTAAAACACATTTTCCGTCCATCCCTGGTTTCCATGGTGGTTTTACTGGTGAGGTTTTGTTTGTGAATTTTGAAATACTAATAAATCAATACTTCAATAATAGTATCCTTCAGTAATTGTCTATTGACAGTAGTTCACTGTCAAACACGTTTAACTCTTTGCACAGCAGACTAGATACCCAGGAGAGACATTATAGCTGTATCACTCAATGAAACCCAGATGTCTGTCTGGCTCACAGCTCAATCGTACACGCTAGCACATTAAAAACTAGTATATTAAACAAGAGAAAGAAACCTCAGTGTACAGTTCATCTATGTCAAAGCTCAGTTTAAGACATCAAATAGGGGAGAAGTCGTGGCCTAATGGTTAGAGAGTTGGACTCCCAACCCAAAGGTTGCAGGCAGAGATTGTAGGTGGAGGGAGTGAATGTACAGCGCTCTCCCCCACCTTCAATACCACGACTGAGGTGCCCTTGAGGCACCGAACCCCCAACTGCTCCCCGGGCGGCGCAGCAAAAAAATGGCTGCCCACTGCTCCGGGTGTTCACTGCTGTGTATGTGCACTTTGGATGGGATAAATGCAGAGCACTAATTCCGAGTATGGGTCACCATACTTGGCCACATGTCACGTCACTTCACTTCACTTCACGAAATGATGTGGTATACCACTGGTATGCAGAGTTCTAGGTTAGATGTGCAACAAACATCTCACACGTTTTTGGAATAGTTGCCAATAACCTACACTTAAATAAATGCCAAAATTATTGATATTTGATCATACTGTTAAAACTGTTGTACTTCCTGTGTTTTGCTATTTTCTATGTTACCAGTTCAACTGCATTCTCACGTTATTTTCAACAGCATTCATCAGGGTTTAATTAGAGCAGACTGGACCTTGCTTTTTCATCAAACTCTTTTCTGCTTATTCTTTATTCATTTTTGTGAGTCTCCTACTACATTCCATTGCTGCTGCTGGGCCTCATCCCACACTCCTGGTGGACACCAGGCTTCCAAATGCTGCCAGATCCAGCAGGCCAAACTAAACTCAGAATGATCAATCAAATCTATTACATCTTTTTTTTTTAAGCACATTAGAGTACTATGTAAATATATAGCAATCATTCAGGACCATTATATTGGTGCAGTTCACAAAAATCATGTCCAATCAAAAGAACATGTCCAATTCTTATATTTAATGCACATTTAATCAAAAATAAATTACTATATATATATATATATATACATATTGTATGTATATGTATTTATTAAAATTTGTAAAAAAAAAAAATAATGTGTATGTGTATAGTACATTTACAATTGTATAAATTCAAACTCATGGAAAATATGTTAAACTAAAAATATGTCCTTAATTTTTTTAATTCATTATAAATTTGTGTGTGTATATATATATAATTATAGTGTTTTTTTGTTGTTTTGCTTTTTTTGTTGTTTTTTGCTTTGGGGTGAAATGTAGCCTGGACCATTTTATGTGAGTTTTCTGTCAATTTAGATATATCACAGTAGTTCATTCTATGGATAAAGCTGATTTACTTATTTGGCAATTGAGGAATGACTCAAAATCGGCCAGACAGTGAGCAAGACAGCTTCCTTTTTGAGCATACCATGTGCGTCAGTACAAACGCCAGTACTCTGGGCACCTGATCAAGCCTTGTTTTATTCCGAAATACACTTTGAAGGTTGTTTGTTCTCTGCAAAGCCACACACAAACATGTCAAACATTATTACGCACATTTCCTTTTGTCTACCATCAGCTTTAAACTTTATTGTAGTGCCGTTGGTTCATCTGATCATGTTAGCATGGTAATAAAATTCAGCATCTGTGCTCTCAGATCATGATTTTTGTGGTAAAGCTCTATGGAAGGCTGCACAGATATTATCTGCTGCATTCCTATTCTCGAAAGCATTGGACTGAGGCTATGTGAGCATCACAAACATTAGATTCGGGCATTAACCATTCTTTTGAATCGCTTTTAAGTGACTTCTTAAGTAGATGGCATATATTTAACCCAACTGCATATTTCTTCTAAAACCCTCTGTGGTTTTTAGGAGTGATGTTCTGGCATGCTCTGTCATACAATCTCAGTCACTCACTGCCTGCTTTGAATGAGGTCATTAAGGCATGACTTTTCTGCTTTGACTCTTACACACATACACACATTACAAATTTCCTTTATGCATTTGGTCAAAAGAAAAGAGGAAAATCAACAGGAGGGTAGAAGTTACATCACAACAGCTCCTAATCTCTGTATAACTTCATTAGCCATGCTAATCGTACATACAAACACTATTCATTAATTTGCTTGTGGTGCTTTCTCTGAAAAAAGAGGGGAACTAAATGCTGTATTTTGCTCAAATAATCATTTCCATGCTTATTTCTGCCCCTTAGCAGCTGTTGACTTTTAAACTTGAAAACATTTCATGACTAACAAAGTAAATAGACTTTGAGTTCCAGAAAGAATACCTTCCAGGTGTTCAGCTCAAAGTTTCAAGCAAGTTAAGCAAGTTAACAACATATTATCAAAAAGAGCTTCATATGAGGGGCTAGTATGGATGATTTTGAGAGTGCAGGTAGCAGATAGCAACAGTATCTCACTATTGTCAGTGTGCTCTTTACCTTTATCCCTGGTCTCTCTCATTTTCTTTATAGTATCTTTATCTGTCAGATAGACTAAAACACACACATAGAGATTGTTTGAAGGCACCAGACCGGCTGACTTATCTTAAGTCATTAGTAAGGTTAATCTTCCCACGGACCCATAATTGCTCAAGCTATTAGCCTAAACACAGACACACACACACACACAATTGAAAGCATCATAAATATAGAATGGAAAGCAGACACTCATTAGCTTCACAAACAAAATATTTTTGTATTTACATACAGTACAGCTGTTGTTTATTTGGGCTATTTGGAGCTTAAATGACCTTGTAATCAAGTAATTAGCTTGAATATAATTAAAATGTACCCTTATTTAGTTTTTTTTTCTAAGCAAAAAATTATCTTTATACGTTCTTACCATGATTTATAGAAGACACCCACTAAAATGCCATAGTTTATGTACCAAAAATCTTTTAGAGCAAGAATCATTAGATGACATAAGGATCTTAAGGATCACATTACAGCCCCAAAAATGAATTAATTGTAATTTTAAATCTTTACCAATCTTTGCCACTATCCTTCAAACCAGGTTTTACCTTTTTGTCAGCAAGAAGTTGTTAATCGCTTACTCTTTTATATATTTTAATAAGTAGGTTCATTTTCACATAAATATATCTGTTATGCAGAATGATGATAGAACATTATTTCACCTATATTTTGACCTTTTATTTTCACAAAAGTTATTTGAGTCTGACCTGTCATGTTGCAACCCCTTTTGACCTTTCCTTCTATCACTTTTCTTTTCTGACTTTCCTATAAATATAAATCAAAGTAGTCATATAATAAAAAAAGATTTTACTTATTATACAACAACTCCTAGATGCCTATCTTAAAGTTGTCCACTTCAGAAACGCCTTTCCTTACTTTAGATATCTTCCCCTTCATGTTTACCATCTTTTTCCACATAATTCACAGGATGTTTCCCAGAACAAGGAATTTACCCAGTGAATGCTTATTTATGCTTATCTATTTCCAGTTTGTCATTGGATACCTTAGTGACAACTATAAAATCCCAGAAATCCCAAAACATGAATTTTTATTACATGCAAGACAAGCATTTTTTTTAAACCCCAAGCTTTCATTAAAGTATTGGTGGTAATGTCACCCACCATCATCCTCAGATTCTTGTTAAGCACTTCCAGCAGGCCTCCTCTAGACAAAAACACAGCTTCTACTCTCTTTCTGTCTCACCCCTTCTGCTTCAGAGACTGTAAAACACTCATTCATTGAGTCACGTCTACGCGGCACATTTATCTGTTCCAGCATCAGTGCCACAGAGGTTCACAAAGAGTCAAAGTGTACTGACTTACACTCATGTACCACATTATTCATGGCTAGTGTGTGAGTTTCCGATAATCCTAAATTCCTGTATAAGTAGAATCTTAGATCTGCCTTATATGGCAAGTTCATGTTCATATTGCTGAATGTGAGCAAACCATTAAACACACAAATAGTCTCTCACACACTTACCAGATGGACATGCATGTTACGACTTGAATCTGTCATTCTAAAGAGCAGATGAGCCGAGTGATTTGACAATGCAGTGGAGAACATGTTTCATTGAATTTTTCATTTCAACATGGTCATTTTATATATATATATATATATATATATATGTGTGTGTGTGTGTGTGTGTGTGTGTACCTACGACAACTCCAAATATATATATATATATATATATATATACATACATATAAGGTAATAATGAAAATTACAGTTTTGTGACTGGTAATGATTATTTATGGTCAATACATTTTCATCCTCTACTGGCAGGTATGGTATAACGTTTGAACTTTGGAGTATGTGTTTAGATGTATATCCATCTGTGTGTCTTTACCCTCCTCCTGACATTCATTTTCATTCCTCTTTTCCTCGTAGACGTCTAGTCATTTTTCAGCAGCTCCCAGTCTTACAGCTTTCATCTGAAATCACGAAACCTGCCATGTCCTTCTGAACTACCCTGTACAAGGTGGAGTGTTTCATCCCACCCTTCTCGTGACGTTACATTCAAGCTCAAACCTCTTTTGTTGAAACCAAAAGTATGTTTGTAAGTTTAAGTAACCACCCAGAACACTCTAGCAACCACCTATAATTATTAGCACTGCTCAGAACACCCTAGCAACCACTTAACAACTCCTTAGTGACTGTCCAGAACACACTAGCAGCTCCTTAGCTACTATCCAAAACATCTTAGCAACCACACAACACACTACCTAAAAACCACCCAGGATACCCATCAAGCAACTCACTAAAAACTCTCTAGCAGCCACCCAACACACCCTAACAACACCTATTAACTCCCTAGCAATCATGCAGGACACCCTTCAAGCACCTAGGAAACTCTAGAACTGGAACAGGAAATTTTCTAGTAACTACCCAGTATACCCTAGCAACTCCCTAGCAACCACCCAGAACACCTTATGCAGCAATAACCTGGCAACCCTGGGTAATTTTTAATTTTATTTATTTATTTTGCTGTTGGTCTCAGATTGTCAACCCTACTTGAACGGTGTAATATAAGACTCTTTCTAGCTCTCAGTGACACTCTCTTCACTGTTCAAACAGTTCCGTTCGGTTCCTTGTCTCTGTGTTTTTTTTTCTGGGTCAAATGAGTTCTTTTAGTTCAGAGTCATTTCAGGAGGTATTAAATTACTCCAGCTGGAACTTTTTTTGGTGTCCCATTCGCTGCATTGACCCTACCTATACTGGAGCAATTGTTTCATCCCTTTATGGACCCCTTGCTTGACCTCTTACTTAAAACAACAAACACCGGGAGCTGAACACACACACACACATATACACAGAGCCTAAGAGAATGGTTTATGTTGCTTTTGGCAGGGTCATATGCTCTGTATCATCTCATTTCCTGTTTAGAAGGCAAGTATGTACTGAGTGTGTCTGTGTGAAAGAGAGAAAAGTGGAGGCCTTTTACAAGGCTTGCACGGTTGTTTTGAATGGAAGCTACAAAAATTTATCACAAACTACCAAGATAACACATCTCGGATAACTGTTTCATATCAAAAGATTATGGAAAATTGGATTTTAAACACTAATTGTTTAAACTGAAATGAGCAGAAATCCTTCTAAACTAATCTAATAAATACCTATCTGTCTCTGTCTCGCTACAGGCCCAGCGTAGAGATTGCGACATGTGGGAGCGATATGGCAAATACAACCTGAGCGACCCGTTCCTGGCCCTGCAGAGAGACAGTGAGGTCCTCCAGAGCTCGGGCCAGACCAGGGGAGACGGAGAAAGTTCCTCCCAGAGACGAGAAGGGTTCTGTGGGGCCACGGCTCGCTCGGATCCTTTGGCGGTGCTGAAGCTGGTGGTCGGACACTGCAGAAGGATGCAGGAGAAGATGCTGAAACAGCTGGCAGCTGCCGAGAACAGACATAGGAGGGTGAGTTTATACTGGATAACGGCTGAAAGCCACTGACATCGATACTAATGTGAGCATCATATCATTTAAATTGGATTTACCACAGTGTAGCAGGTCAAGGAGAGATTGGATTGGTTTATATAGGCTACTCATTATCTCATTCTGTCGCCGCTCTGTGGTGGTTTCAGGTCATTGCTGATCTGGAGGAGGAGAAGAGGAAGCATGCTGAGGATACTGCAGAAGGAGATGATGTCACATACATCCTGGAGAAGGAGAGAGAGCGCCTCCTGCAACAGGTACAAAGAACTGAAAATACTATATTTAAATTAATTTGAGGTACTACAGGGGGAACAGGCTACAATTTATTTTGCTTTAATAAAAATGAGTTATTGCTCTATTAAAATATACATGAAAACCATTTTTTAAAGTATGATTTTACACATTTAAATATGCAAATTATGTATCATATGATTAAATATGCACATTTTTGCATATTACAATAAAAGTAATATAGATCCCACGGAAAATGTCTAATTAACAGATCTGATTGCTAAAGCCTTTGTCAAAACACAGTATTTAATAAAACATGCTGTTTAATACAAATAGAACATAATATTAATATAAAATTGCCCACAAAATGTAAAGGAAAAATAGGAAAGATTTTCTAGCAGCAATAAAATGTAGGAATAAAATGTTAAATTAGGAGCTCAACCATGAAAAATTAGATATTACTTTTAAGCAAAATATCCTTTTACAGATGCAAACTAATGCTAATATGAAAGGTGATTTAAAAAGTATCCAAACATTGTTATAAGATACCTTTTTTTTGTTTTGTTTTTTTTACATTTTTACGAAATAAAATGTTTTTCCCCTTTTTTGGCCATTTTTTTTCTTCTTGTTTTAAGCATGAATTGAACAAAATTTAGGTTTGCACTTGAAATGACAAATTATAAAATAATTCCAGACATTCTGCTGTTCAAAAGTTGTTGTTTTTTGTTATTTGTTCAAACTTTCAACAGTAACTTTCAAATAAATGCTGTTTATTTTAAATATTCATCAAAGAATGTATTGTGAAAAAACTGTTTTCAACATTGATAATAAGAAATGTTTCAAATCAGCATATTAGAATGATTTCTGAAGGATCATGTGGCACTAAAGACTGGAGTAACGATGCTGAAAATTCAGCTTTGCCTTCAAAGGGATAAATTACATTTAAAAAAATATAAAAAAATAAATACATTGTAATAATTTTTCACAATATTTCTTTCACTGTAAAATGTCTTATGTAATTTTCTTTTGTAAATTTATAAATCTATCAGTGTATTTCCAACTAATTTGTTTATTTTTTAATACTTTTTTTAGTTGGAGTTTGAGAAGGCAAAGACGTCCCGAATGGAGAGGGAGAACAAACGACTGTACGATCAGTTAGAAGACCAGCGAGTCCAGCATAAACAGCTTATGATGGCAGTGAGCCGTGAATGCAACCGCTCCGGCACGCGTGCCCATGAGGAATCCCAGCGCGCCAACGAACTCAGCCATCGCCTCGATCGTGAGCGAGCGGCCAATCAGGCTCTGAGGGCGGAGCTCGAGGAAGAAAAGAAGCGGGCTATGCAAACGGAGGCGAGTCGAGAGGAGCTGCTGGCCGAGTTTGACACTGAAAGGGAGCAGCTTGGGCTGAGATTACGAAAGGAGGAAGCGCGTTGTAGAGCACTACAGGAAGACCTAGAGAAGCTGAAGAGTGTGATGAACAATGCAGAGGAGAAATCAAACAAGATGCAGACAAAAATGAACGGACACCATGTTCTTATGGAGGAAGATGGGAATGTTGAGAAGCAGGGCATGTTAACCAATGGGAGCTCTCAGACCAATCCACAAGCTCACAGCCCTACAAACAGCAATCAATCACCTGACATGCCCAGTACACAAGCTGCATACCAGGCTGGCATGAACCAGCGCTTCCATGCAGCCCGTCACAAGTTCCAAGGCCCCTTTGATCAAGATTCCCAGACCGTCTCCTCCCCTCCGAATAGTCCATGTGACTTCTCGCCCTGTGCAGCCCATGTGACTCCACCAGACAGCGCTTCTTCTAAACAAGCGGCCCACAGCACCGTCACACAGGCCCTGAGTCGCTTCAGCACTCAGCAAAGTCCCAGCAAACCAACATCCCCCAACAGTTCCCCTTTTGGCACAGATTACCGCACATTGGCCCACTCTGGGATGTTGTCTCCCACCATCAGGTCTCCAACTATTCCCAGAGGGAACCCACCTCCAATCCCACCCAAAAAACCAGGCCTCGCTGACACACCTTCTTCTCCAGCCACACTCCGAGCTGCTCACTTGGCTCAAATGACGGCCGGTTGTGGACGCAGCAGCAACTCAGAGAACAGCAAAGAACCAGACCTGGTGCTGTCGTCTAGCGGCTAGCAAGCACAAATGATGAACTTGATCGTGTCAAACACTGTTGATTTTTTTTTTTTTTGTAAGGGACATTTCAGGTTTTTAAAATCAGTTTTAGAATATTTGAAACATATATTTTCGAAGTAAATATGCAATATTACCATATCTCAGTCAGATGCATGTTGATTGTGTGCATGAATACATTATACATTCTGTATTTTACCATGAGAAAAATCACCTGTTTATCACAGACAATCACCAGCTTCTATAAATAGTTTTATATATTGTTATTCAAACAAATATTTATATAAACACTACCACTCAAAAGTTTGGGGTCAATGCCATTTTTTAAAAATATATTACTACTTTTATTCAGCAAGGCTGCATTAAACTGATCAAAAGTGAAGTAAAGACTTTTTATAATCTTATATGATTATTTTCAAATAAATGCTGTTCTTCTGAACTGTTTTCAACATTGATAATAATAAGAAATACTTTTTGAGCAGCAAATCAGCATATTAGAATGATTTCTGAAGGATCATGTGACACTGAAGACTGGAGTAATGATGCTGAAAATTCAGCTTTGCAACACAGGAATAAATTACATTTTAAATTTTAAATTGTAAAAATTTTACAATATTGCTGTTTTTACTTTATTCTTTGATAGTGTAATAAATGCAGCCTTGGTGAGCATAAAAGACTTCTTTCAAAAACATTTTAAAAAATCTTACCAACCCCAAAAGTTTTGAACAATAGTGTACATGATTGTGTATCTGAACATTTTACCCTTCCCTGTCATCTGGTTTATACACTGAACTATATATTTAACAGATTGCATGTGCAAACAGCCCTTTGCTTTCTCACATAGCAGTTTGTTTTGTATATCTAAAGGTACTTGATATTTAGCCTAATATTTACGTCTCGCTCAGAATCATGTTACAGATGTGTATCGCATTATAATGTTGTTTTTGTTTATCTTTTTTTCTTTTTGTGATCTGATATGAATGTTATTTTTATAACCAATATAACGTTTTACATTTTTTTTGTTACACTTGTAGACATGGGCTGGAGCAAAAGATTTTAGATTTGCATATTTGTATCCTAAATCCAGCCAGCAGAGGGCACAGTATCACCCATTCTCAGCCATTCATGTTTGGAAAGGAATACTAGTACACTAGCTTACTGCATATATTACTTATATACTGCCTTCTGTTTTTGTTTTTTTTTATAATATTATGTGAAATAAAGTTATTTTGAGATTTAATCCAATTTTGTTGTTGATGTCATCACAGATGACATTTGTCACACTAGAAATGGACGGTCGAGTGGGGTGCATTGCATTATTGCATTGCTGTATTATTTTTAACATTAAACTGACGAATCAGAATCAAGTCTTCCAGAGAGCCATCTAATAATGAACGTTATTATAAAGTTTTATCTTTTATTGAACTGATGATCAAATTAAACACTCAGTACAAGCTCAATACCACAGAAATTAGTCAGTGTATGATTCTCATGTTGATGTTACAAGCACGACCGACCCTTAGATCCTCCATCATCTGCTGTCTCAGTTTAACCAGCCAGGAGCCTCTCCCTAAATCCTAAATCCCCTCTTTATGTGTGTGTATATGTGTGTGAGTGTGTGTGGCCCGGGAAACAGAGAGGCAAACACGCATGAAGTATGTGCCACTCTGCCCCCCCTGGTCACAATGGTCTTACCAGGTTCCAATCAAGCGCAAACTCACTGCTTGTACAGTCTAGAGCTGGACTCAACTTGAAAAATCTCATTTGAATCTATTTAAAAATTACAATATAAATCAAATTAAAATCATATAAATTAAATCTAATATAAAAATCTAATTTGAACTGAATATAAAACACATTTCAACCTTCAAGGGAACTCCACACTGCGTCCCCTAGGGGACACCTTGGGGAAAGCCATCAGCAATGAGAATTGACCAATTACCACACATGGTTCGGGGGCTGCCGAGGCAGCTAGGCAGACCGATCATAGGGATTGTAAGCGGGGCATGGAAGGAATCTGACGGGAAGTGCTTTCCCTTTCAGGAGTTCCTCGGTGCGTCCGAAATTGCATACTGTCTGAGTAGGTACTACATTTGAATTTATTTCACAACCGTTAAAAACTACATTCTATATCATATGAATATGGGTAGTATGAATGAAATTCGGATGTATACATCCGCTATGTTGTTACTGTCACATGACCTACCAGCGTCAGTTGCGTCGCTTCACTGCCATTCATAAATCCTTTCCCGTGGCCTCATGGAATAGTAAAGTGTCCATCAAATGCACACTTCAGAATCTGGGCGGAAGTAGTAGGTCATACTGTTCGCCTACTGTTTTTCGAATTCTGTGAATTCGGACATACTACTCGCCTCACATACTGTTTTTCGCATACTATATAGTAGGGAAGTATGTGATTTCGGACTCAGCCTTTCTTTCTGTTCTCTCCCGAGGGGTAGTAGTCAGCATTCGCACGACCATGTCCGGCTCTCGAGGAGATTATAGTGATGCTTGAACTAGGTACACTTAGCTCTCGAGGGAGTTAAATGCGTGTTGTTTGATGCGGTCACAATAATCGGTTCCACCTAGGCATGACTCTCTCTCTAGGGATGAGATCGAGCATGGGGGTTGTAGGCAGGGCACGGGAGGAGTAGAAAGTTTCCGTTTTGAGCTCCTCTTGCCTCTCCTAAGCGGAAGTTTGTCAAAGATGTATTTGTTTGAGAATGATTTTCTTTGATGGCTATCCCTTTTTATGAAGATTGTAGCAAGATGCCCCTCCCCAGTGGTTTTGGGTTTTAAGTAGGGTTCCTTGCTCTCTTCTTAACAGCTTCTCAGGATGGGCTGCCTCCAGTGTATTTTCGGTGGCCCACCTGTTAGATAATTAAAGTTGATAAAAGTCTGAGGACACTTCCGTTTGACTAGCTGCCCGGGTGGAGCAAGATGTCCCTCACGAGAGTATGTGGATATTGAAGCAGGGTTCCTTGCTCCTCTGTTCAGTCCACATGTACATGTTCCTTGGATTGAGCTCTCATAAAGTCTCCCTATTCAGGAAATTATTTGTCAAAGATGTACCGTTTGAGGCTGGTTTCCTTTGATAAGATCTCCCCCTGAGTCGAGAGCATTTTTCCTACCTAATATTTCTGGTGGCAGGGTTGGGCTGCCTCCCCACTTTCTAGGGCTTTTAAGTAGGCGGTCACCCTGAGGTTCCTTTTTATATACTAGACTGCGTCCCCTGATTTCAGGGTATTCTCAAGCAGGCAGTCCCCCTCAATCCCACATGCTTTGGGCTGTCTCCCCTGCAATAGGGTTTCAAGTAGGTGGCCCATTGTCCTAGGAACACAGCTGTTTGAGGACAGTTGTGTTCCCAACTTGGCTGAATGGAATGCCCCTCCTTATATTAGTGTTGGTTGGTTTCCCCATTTCCCCCAAGTTATTTTAGCTGTCCATAGCACTATTTTTGTTGCTCTCTCACCAGGTGGACAGGCATGCTCCGTGGCATGGTGTAGTGGGTATTTCGTTCCCCAAAGTGTCCCCAAGGGGACGCAGTGTGGAGTTCCCTTGAAGGGGAACATCTCAGGTTATGCATGTAACCATGTTTCCCCGAGAGGGAATGAGACACTGTGTCCCCTTGCCATGCCTGGGGCCTGCCTGTGTCACGTCTTCTTCAGACAAAGAAGTTGATGACGTGCATTACAGGCACCCTCTTATACCTCCGGGTGCTCCGCTAATGATGTCGCGGGCTGTGCAGGCCAATGATTTGGAGCGTTTTCATGCGTGCTTCAGACATCGGTCATACTGATGGCATTCCCCAAAGTGTCCCCTAGGGGACGCAGAGTCTCATTCCCTCTTGGTGAACCATGGTTACATGCATAACCCAAAACATTTTTATATTTTAGATAATCGCAAAAATTGAAAATTCTGTCATTATTTTCATACACTGAAAAATCCCAGCAAAGTCTTATAAAGCATGTGTGAATAAATAATATATTAACTTTTACATATGATAGTGCTGTCAAATGATTAACCGCGATTAATCGCATCCAAAATAAAAGTCTTTGTTTACATAATATATGTGTGTGTACTGTGTATATTTATTATGTATATATAGTCACACACATACAGCACATATTTTTAAAATATTTGCATGTATTTACGTGTATATATTTCTATTCATATTAATTATATCATATATAAATATATGAAATATATAAACATAACATATTTTTCTTAAATATATACATGCATGTGTGTGTATTTATATGTACATAATAAATATACACAGTAAACACACATATATTGTGTAAACAAAAACTTTTATTTTGGATGCGATTAATCGCGATTAATCATTTTACAGCACTAATGATAATATATTCATTAACTCTATTTTATTAGTTATATATAATAATTATTATAGATTTAATTTTTTTGTGAACTACTCATTTAATGTCCCTTAAAATATCAGTGCTGCTATTTCTGCTGACTACACTGGTTTATCAGATGTCCTGTGTGTCAGGGGATGGTCACCCCCTCTGGTGGATGCTGCTAATTAACATTCCTGTTTGGGACAGTAGGTCGAGGTTGCGAGGCCGACAGGGACGCATGCCTGGCCTGGTGAAATCTGTCTCCCACACACTGCTATAATCACCAGCTCCTCTAGATCAGGGGAGGGGAGGGCACTGACCTCTCAGTACATAAAGGACAGGTCACTAATTATGGGTGCAAATCCTGAGTCCCAATGGGTTAAGTATTCTTGTCACACACTGTTTGGAGACAACAAAAAGGGATGCTCTCCACTGTATGAGCTCCAATAGTAGTTAGATTTGACATTTAATCATATTTAGTGGTGGTTGCTAAGGCAAGCGTCACTATGACTATAGTCCACACTTAATGATAGTGTCAGTGATCTGAACAAACTTGTAAACCTAAGTATTTGAAATATTATGGCATAGAACTTGTGATACCTGAAAAAGTGTAGCTTGTAGAGGAGAAGTTATTAGACGTGCAATTGCGAGACACACACACACACACACACACACAAATATATATAAATAAATAAATATAAATATATATACTGTATATATATATATATATATATATATATTGCAATCAGTTCCTTGCCTGTATATTTGAGTGTCTGTTTCCAAGACTCAAAATATATATTTATATTATTTTAACATGAGTAAATAAATGGCATGCAAACAAAATGGATGCTACACCAACTTATCTCCTAATGCGCGTATTTCATCCTTTAATGATCTTGGCAGGAAGCTAAAGGACAGAGTGTAAGTCAAAGTGACCAGAAACGTTCTTTCTTGAGCTCTTTGTTGTTTACTTTGTATTACTGTTTGTTAAGCAGTTCCCACTCTATCTAATACCAGTGGTGTATTTTATGAGCAAGCTGGGGTGATTATGTACACAGACAATGTCACGTCCCAAAACATATAAGCAATGTTCTACTATCTTTGTTGAGAAGGTATTTATTGAGTTATATATAGACTATTATATGCCAGTCCAGCATGTTGATACCTAAACAAACACTGGACGTCTGGCCTCATATAACACTATACTGAAGCATGTTTTCAGGCGACAGACAGACAGACAGACAGAGAGAGAGAGAGAGAGAGAGAGAGAGAGAGAGAGAGACAGACAGACAGACAGACAGAGAGATAGAT